TCTCGGCTCACCGCAACCTCCGCCTCCTGGGTTCAGGCAATTCTCCTGCCTCAGCCTCCTGAGTAGCTGGGATTACAGGCATGCGCCACCATGACCAGCTAATGTTTTTGTATTTTTAGTAGAGACGGGGTTTCACCATGTTGACTAGGATGGTCTCGATCTCTTGACCTCGTGATCCACCCGCCTCGGCCTCCCAAAGTGCTGGGATTACAGGCTTTAGCCACCGCACCCGGCCCTGGGCAACGCCATCTTTACACAGGACGCTCACTGCTACTCGAAGCCCCAGCATAAATCCAAGAATGCCTGCCTAGGCTTTCCTTAGAGAACTTCCAGATCCACTAACAGGTGAATGTCACTTCAGCCCTTCTGCTGCTGACACGAGGTGACTTCGTCTTGGAGTTGGATGTAGAACCCAATACAACTTAAAAATAGACTCCGTGCTATCGTAGAATGTTTACGTATGGTTCACCATTGAAAAGAGGTTGTTTTAGGAAAACGTCTGTATCAGCACAGCCACCCCATCCAACGCTCTATTCAGGTCCCTGCTACCCCACAGAGCAAGTGCAAGTCACTGACCTCAGATTCTGCCAGGCGGAGCAGCTGTATAGATCCACTCGCATCGGCCAAGCCCAAGAGGGCATGTCCAGCTACCGGGATGTGGCACCTGAGGAGAGGGCCCACCATGAGCACACCGAGGTGCCTGCAGCACAGGAGCACACCGTGCATCCGGCCATCACTCATGCTTCACTTAACAACGGGGCTGCACTCCACGCAAACCCAGCCAGGACAGCCTACCACACACCTTGGCTGTGGTGTGTGGTGGGGGCCACTGCTCCTAGGCCACAAACCTTACAGCATGTTACTGCAGGCAAGTGTCACACAATGGTAAGTGGCTGTGTATCCAAATACAGAAAAGGTACAATAAGAATACGATACAAGGCCAGGCGCGGTGGTTCACGCCTGTAATCCCAGCACTTTGGGAGGCTGAGGTAGGTGGATCACCTGAGGTCAGAAGTTTGAGACCAGTCTGATCAACATAGTGAAACCTCATCTCTACTAAAAATACAAAATCAGCCAGGTGTGGTTGTGGGCGCATGTAATCTCAGCTACTCAAGAGGCTGAGGCAGGAGAATCGCTTCAACCTGAGGCGTGGAGGCTGCAGTGAGCCAAGATCATGCCACTGCACGCTAGCCTGGGCAACAAGAGCAAAACTCCTTCTCAAAAACAAACAAGCAAACAAAAAAACTAAGCAAAAAGTAGCTGGGCATGGTGGCAGACACCTGTAATCTCAGCTATTGGAGAGAGGCTGAGGCAGGAGAACTGCTTGAACCCAAGAGGGGGAGGTTGCAGTGAGCCAGGATTGCGCCACTGAACTCCAGCCTGGCGACAGAGCAAGTCTCCATCTCAAAATAAAAAATAATAATAATTAAATAAATTTTAAAAACATAAAAATATCAGCTCCAAAACTGGGCTAGAGCCTACAATTGTGTTCTCAAGCAAAAGATGCCCCAGCTTATGAAGTCAGAAAACTCCCATCCCTTCCCCGATTGGAACATGGCAAAAGAAATCAGCCCCGCATAAAGCACAGCCCAAGTGGGAGGGAAGCAGGGCAGCAAAGAAACAAATCCGAAGTTGACACACAATCCCTGTCTCCTTGAAGTCTACCAGGCATCAGGCTCCCCTGATTAAGTGACTGGCTACTCGTGACAAATTCTAGGCCAAGTGGGATTACCACAGTTGTACCATTTCATGTCCAGGATTGCAGAAGTATCTTTTCTTTGGACCTCGACCAGAGGGTGAGTAGAGTTGTTGTTCTCATTGAAACTGTACAGGAAGAGACGACCTAAACGGATCTGAGGCTCCTCAACTTCCATTCCACCCTATAAAAAATGCAGAGGTATTCTCTGATTACGCCAAGACACCAAGGAACCCAAGCGATGGGAAAAGGGACCCAAGGAACTCAAAGGTTTGTGATGACGGACGGGGCTGCATTCTGCCTGGAAGGAGAGACGCTGGTGTTCTGAGCTGGAGAAATGTCTATTTTCCTGTGTGTGATGAATGAGCAGGTGAACGAACGCTCCTGGACCGAGCAAAGGCTCCTTCTAAGCCGGCCCACGGCGCCCGGCTGCGGCCAGGGTGAGCACAGAGCCCAGCCTGCCTGGGACGGTCCTGACGGGCCTGTCGTTCCGGCGCCCAGTTTGCACCCTAACATGTACCTCCCAGAAGTTAAGGTGTAATTCCCAGTTTCTCTTTACTGTCCGTGCCATCCATGAGCCTGAGCCACACCCGCATACAGAAGACGTTCTGCTCTCCAATTCTGCAGCCGGCCGGGGCGGGGGCGCGTGCCTGCGGGCCCGGCTGCGCCGGGGCTGGGGTGCGAGGCTGCCCCGAGCCCCGGGTCCGAGGCTGCCCTCCAGCCTGGGTGACAGGGCAAGACCTCGTCTCAAAGAACCACGTTGCGGCGTCCGACCTCCGTCCCGGCGGAAGGGCCGGCATGGCCTCTTCCCTCCCGCGCGGCCCCGCGCGCCCGTCGGCCTCCACCCCGGGGCCGCCCCGCCGCCCCCTCCCCAGCCGGGGCGTGCGCACCTCGCTCTGGGGGCCGGCGGGCTCGTCCGCACGCCGCAGCTGGTAGGTTCCGCACGCCAGCAGGTGCCGGAGGCCTCGCAGCGGGCACCACTCCACCGCGTCCGCGGTCAGCTCGGTGTCCACCGTCTGCAGGGCGCAAGCGCCCGTCATCCGGCCGGCGGTAGAGGCGGGTCGGCGGGGCCGGCGGCACGAGCGCGGATGCTCCGAGACACCGTCAGCGCAGGCGGCCTCTCCCTCGAGTCCCCGCAGCCGCCTCTCGCGATTCCTTCCGGCGCGCCGGGGCGGGACATCCGGGCGGGCGTCGGCCGCGGCGGACTCCCCCGGGAGGCCAGGCTCCGGCGCCCCCTGTCGGCCGGCGGACCGCGGCGGGCTCCAGGCGCCGGGCGCACTGCGCCTCTGCAGAGCGGTTTTGGAGACGGCACGTTCGAGACAGGGCCGCAGGTTCGAAGCCGCCTTTGCAAAAATCCCGTCAGGGAGGAAACCCCAACGGCAAGCTGCGCAAGCGCACCGCGTGGCGCCCTCCCGGCTGCTCCTGGGCCTCGGGCCGCGCCGACTTAAGACGACGTGACGCCTTGCCCCGGAATCCGCGCCTTCGCAACGCGGAGGGGCCCCCAGCACCCCGAGGCGGCATCTGGGCCCCCCAGAAGCGGCTCGGCAGGAGGACGGCTGCGCCCCGGGATTCTCAGCACCTGCCCCCTGGCCGCCCCACCCCTTCCCCCAGAGCTGCCTTTGAAAAACCCCTAACCGGCCGGGCGCAGTGGCTCGCGCCTGTAATCCCAGCACTTCGGGAGGCCGAGGCGGGCGGATCACGAGGTCAAGAGATCGAGACCATCCTGGCCAACATAGTGAAACCCCGTCTCTACTAAAAATACAAAAAAATTAGCTGGACGTGGTGGCGCGTGCCTGTGGTCCCAGGTACTCCGGAGGCTGAGGCAGGAGAATTGCTTGAACCCGGAAGGCGGAGGTTGCGATGAGCCGAGGTCGCACCACTGCACTCCAGCCTGGCGCCTGGTGACAGAGTGAGACTCTGTCTCAAAAAAAAAGAAAAAAGAAAAACCCCTAACCTGGGAGCTCTGGACAAGATCTGAGGATGGACTCCAGCTCCCACGAGGCCTGGCCGGCCCGGATCTACCAGACTTTTTCTTTACTGCGATCCATGGTCTTTGTGCAGCGGGCAGGGAGAACCCCTCGGCCCCGACGGGCTGAAGACCCTGGCACCTCAGAGCGCATCCTTGGCAAACGGGCTCTCGGAAGGGAGAGTTGAAACAAGGTCCTAGGGAGGGCCCTGACCCCGTGGAGCTGGAGTCCGCAGAAAGGAAAGCTGACCACAGGAGGCAGGCCAGGCTCTTGCCGTCCCCACACCTCCATCTGAGGCTCTGGCCTCCAAAGCCCAGACGGTGAATTCCTGCTGCTTCAGGCTGCACGCGCTGCTTGTGCTGCTTGTTGCGGCAGCTCCAGGAAGCTAAAGCGGACTTGACTGAAATTTAGGAGCCTGGGTGGGTGTTCAGCCTCGGGCCTTCAGTGCGGACAGACAGCAGCTCAGATCGCGGCAGAGGCGCCGACAAGGCTGGCCCAGAAGGCAGCAGGGCGTTCCCAAAGGGCCTCAGCCACACACCTCTACGTGGGAGGGAGAGTGCCCAGGCCAAGCACCCCAACGCACCACACTGCAAACAAGCTGGAAGCCAGCCTCACATTGCAGCCATCTGGATGTCCTCAGAACGTCTTAGATACTTGGCTACAAAGACCAAGAAGTCAGGACCACGGAAGGGGAAAGATGACCAGGGGATGGATATCAGATAAGAGAAGGCAAGCAGTCGTGGGGCCCATCCCACCTTCACATTGGCACCTGTGGGAGTGAGGCCTGGAGCTGCCACACACAAACTTAGAGCCTGCATCGCCCCCTTCCCCACTGTGGTGTCTCACAAGTGGGAGGCCCTGGGTGCTTTTCAGTGCATTTCTGATGACTGCCAGACAAGGCAGCCTCTGCTGGTCAGGGGACGATGTGGCCATTCCCCGGGACACAGCCTGCAGTCTGTTCCCATCCTGACTCTCCATTTGAAAGCAGGCTGCCTGAGGGCACGTGAGGCTCTAGGCCTGAAGATTGCCCCAAACCCCAAGCTGCTGACCCAACATCTCTAGGGACACTTAGGTCCCCCTCCCTGAGAGCTTTCACCTGCTCAGATGTCCCTGACCTTCACAGCAAAAAAGGAGGCTTCTCATGACACAAACACGTGCGGTTCTCTCAGCTCCGGGAAATCCTGCGGGGTTTGCTGCTATTGCCTGTTTTCAGCTGTCCTGTTCTTCAGGAGGCCCCAGGGTACTGCCAGAGAAGCTAAGGGCAACCCAGCCAGGGGCAGCAATGAGAACACACAGGGTGTCCTGGAGTGCGGCAGAGGAGCTTCAAGAGGGGGGAGTGTAGCAGGAACCTGCGGGAACACAGGGTCGGGGCGGCCAGGACCAGACCAGACAGGTCAGAGTTGGACTGGCCAGGCTCCTAGCTCCCAAGAAGGCCTCTGAGTGGGTGGCTGGGTACACCTAGAGACTGGCAGGATCCCGGCCACACAGCCTGGCTTGTTCCCCTGAGCAGCTCTATGAGTACAAGATGCTGACCAACCCCAGACACCTGGGGCTCCCCCAAGGACAGAGGGTGGACCCTGGAGGCCGCAGCCCTGCAGAGGGACGGAGGAGTGTAGCCCTCACCCCACCCCGACTGCCCAGCACCCTCCCCCATCTGTAGCAGGCCTCCTGCACATGCCTGTGGATTCTTTTTCAGACGGAGTCTTGCACTGCCGCCCAGGCTGGAGTGCAGCGGCTCGATCTCGGCTCACTTCAAACACCGCCTCCCGGGTTCAGTGATTCTCCTGCCTCAGCCTCCCGAGTAGCTGGGATTACAGGCATGTGCCACCACGCCCAGCTAACTTTTTGTATTTTTTAGTAGAGATGGAGTTTCACCAGGCTGGCCAGGCTTGTCTCAAACTCCTGACCTCGTGATTCGTCCACCTCGGCCTCCCAAAGTGCGTGGGCCACCACACCCGGCTGCCCTGTGGATTCTTCCGGGCAGCAGCTGTCACTGACGAGCTCCCAGGCACTTCACGCATACGTCAGACAAGAGCTAAGCAATGTCAGCGTCTGGAGCATCCCACACCCAATAAAACGGTGGGCAGCCGACAGCGCCCCACCAGTGCTGCGCAAGACAAGGACAGCGTTCCGCTCACACTCCCTGCTGGACTCAGGAAGGTCTGAGCTCACCCACTTCACAGAGGGCACATGAGGAGCAAGGCCAGGTCCTCCTGCCCCACACCCACAAGGACTCAGCTCCACTCAAAATGACCTCACCCTAAGCAGCACCGGAGGGAGGCGGAGCAGAGAACGGCCGAGACGCCAGACGATTCCACCCCTTTACTTTGCCTCTGTGGACACAACTCCCGTGCAGGCCACGCTCCGTGGGGCGAAGCTGCAGCTACAGGACAGTTTTTAGACACGTGGCCTGACCATTTGCCATTCAAGGATTACAGCAAAAGATTCTATTTGTAATTTCTACCCTTCCCTTTGCCTCCCCCCAAAAAAAACTGTACATGAGTTTACAAACATATTAACATATAAATAATGAGAACCGTCCCGGTGGAGCCTCCTCCTGTCCCTGCTGGGGATGAACACTGAGGGCGCTGTGCCCACACAGACTGCCTGTAACGTCGGGAGTCTCACGGCGGCCGTCCCGGGCCTGCAGCTGGCTTTTTCGGCACCTCCAGGTTCAACCACGAGTTTGTCTCTGCTGTGCCCAGGGCAGAGCCCGGGGGCTGCGACTGTGTGCGGCTGCCCCGCCCGTCATCGCTCCGGCTCGAGCTCATGCTGGAAGGGACGCTTCCTCTCCCGACAGTGTTTCTTGTGGGCCGGCCAGTCCTTCTGCTGACACTGGGAGCCGCAGTACCGGGCCACCTGGCAGCGCCCGCAGATGTTGAACTCCCGGAGCTG